AAAAGAAATACCACATGTTCTCACTTATTTGTGGCAGCTAAAAATAAATAAATAAATTCACTCACACACACAGAAAAAAACCCGGGGGTGGGGGTGGGGGGAGAAGATATAACAACTACAATTTTTTTAAGTTGTTACAACAAGCAAACGGAAAGGACATTGTTGGGTGGGAGGGAGGAGAGGGTGGAGGGAGGGAGGTTTTGGTAATGGGCCATAGTAATCAACCACATTGTATAACGACAAAATAAAAATTTAGAAAAAAAAAGAAAAAGGAAAACATTGGAGGAGTTTGGGAAGAAGGTATCACTTCCTGCTGGGGAGAATTGGGATTCTTAATGGAGAAGGTAGCATTTGAGTAATTCCTGATGAATGGGAAGGCTTTGAACAGTGAGATAAGGGAAAACATTCAAGCCAGATGGGACAAATTGAGCATAAGCATACCGTCAGGGAAGCAGAGAGCAGCAGAGACTTCAGTTTGGCCAAATGTGAAGATGAAAAGTGGCAATAAGGATGGATTGTGTAGGGTCTTGAATGCAGGAATAAGAAGTTTATTATTCTAGGGACACAACCCCAGATAAATCTGGCAGAACTGTAAAGGAGGACTGGGAGCAGGCAGAGACTAGGAGACGATGGCAGGGAGCAGGGGTAGCCGTTGACTTAGTCCAGAGGATGGGCAGTGAGGCCTAACTGAGGCAGACAACATGAGAATGGCATGGAGGGGTTGTTTGTGGAAGAGCCTGCGAAGACAGAGTCAAGACTTGGCAGCCTGAGTAGGGTCCAGCACGGCCGGATGGTGGCAGAGCAGAGAGAAGTCAGAGATGGCCATGAGGAGGCTCGTGAGGGATGGTTGTATGAAAATAAAGAGCGCTGCAAGAAGCAGGGCAGGTGTGGCAGAGCTGGCGTCTGTGCAGGTGGAGGGTAATGTGGATTAGAAGGTGGGGACTGTGGCAAAGCCCTACCTTGCTCACTCCGACAGTGCAAACCCAGGTGTGTCTGCTCCCATAGGTCATTTGTCAGCTTGATCTTCTGTTTGTCACCATTCCTTCCAGTCACCTATCCTTCCAGCCATCCATAGAACTGCGCCTAAAAATGAGCTTTCCAGTATTTAAAATTTGAACTTTTAAGGCTAATGGTAGCAAGTCCTAACATTTCACCTTGGAGGAATGCCAGGTACATGAGAAATACTGAGTCGTTTAACCGTACGGCAAAAGTCACCCTAAAAGTCATTCCTGAAATGACAGTCATTAAGGGCCATTTATTTGGCAGAATTGGTTGTTGGTGCAGGCATTATTACACATCTTACCAGTGTTTTTCAAGTGAATTTCTGTCTCTTATTTGAAGATTTAATATGCTGAATAGCGTATGGAAATCAGGTCCCATATTGCCTTAAAAATGGCGACTGTATGAGTATTTTATCTTTTTATTCAAGGTAATTATACTAAAATAAAAATTTTCCTTTGCTCAGTTATAAGAATGAATGCTTAAGGTTCCAAAGTCCTTCCTCTTGTCTTTCTCTTTTTCTAGTCCTGTCACCTAGGTATGGTAGACCAGCGTGGCCTGGCAGTGGTGACTGGCTGTTGCACTGATTGAAGGGAGTGGTCTGAGCCCGGGGGAGTGAGAAAGTAGGTCTTGAGCTTATTTTCCACTTGGGGGAATCTCATCAGGTCCAGGACACTGAGTCTGAAGGTTCTTCCTCCGCATCTTTTCATTACTCAATTTGAAGTGCCGGGGTGGCAGCCTGGCTTACCCCGAGTGTGTGGCTGCTTGTCAGGAGGGTTTGATTCTACTTGATTTAACCCACGGTGACAACTTAAGTCAGCAGTCTTGTGCCTTCTTGCTCCAGGGAGAACAAGGGCACCAAGACTCTTGCCCGTCCCTTTCTCATTTATCTCCGTTCCCCAGCAACACCCCCGCACACGCCCCACACCTCCCCTCACTCACACTTGCTCACACATGTACACACAGTCACGCACACTCAGGCCCACGCTCACACCCCCTTCCTCACTGGCACACACACTCACTCACATGCTCCTCCCTGTCCTCATTCGCACTCGGCGTTCACTCGTGCGCCTTCACTGCAGACAGAGGCCCCTTGGCCTGCCGCTCCTTTCGTTTCCTGTGTTGGAAGCTTGCTGCAGAGAATGGGGTCTGAGGGCCCAAGAACTGGCCCCAGCACATCCCCACACCTGGACTGGAGCGTGGGTGAGAAGAAGTGGTGTTTCCTTTTATTCCAAGCTCTTTAAAGGAATTGTCATTTATTATTTTGAAATATTTTTTCTTCATTGTAATGATTGTCTTTTCCCAGACTTCAGAACATAATACTATTATTGTGAAAAATATACAGATCTAGACTTTTCACTAGTTAATGTTCATTTGGAAGATAAAATTGAAGAAGGTAAGACTTGTACTGGCCAGGTTTTAAGCAAAGGTTAATTATTACCAAATGTTCTCTCTAACATCCTTGCTATCCTTATTTCAGATTAAAAAGGAAATTGAGTAAGAATATCTTTCTTGTTTTTATTTTTTAGATTCAGAATATGAACAACATAATCTCCTTCCCTTTGGACAGTTTGCTGAAGGGGGACCTGAAAGGAGTAAAAGGGGTATGGCATTAAAATCCCTTCAGTTGGGGGCAGCGTGTGTATCTCATGGGATCACGGCAACACTGCCCCATCAGGGCAGCAGCCACACCAGTGCGATCTTACTGGGATCTATCTCAGCTTCCTGTGATTGGCCATCCTCACACCACCTTTCAGCTAGAATAATAGTGATTCTTGGCCGGTCTGGTGCTCTTGGTGCCACAAACTTGGTAGGGGGAGGGGAATGTGTGAAGGGAAAGAAACAGCTGTTTGGGGAATTGTAAACAAATTTGGTCTCTCGGTTGAACAGGGAACTCTGTGGGGAGAAATCTGGTTTTCTAGCTGGTGTGTTGCTGAGTTACCACTGAGAAAGGATCTGAGAAGCATGTATTTTCCTGGTGGGAAAATCGCATTCATAAGGCATGGGCTACTTTCATTTTTCTGTCCTCCAAAGGACATTGGCTGTTTAGGACGTGCCTTGCCACTTATAAACACTGGGTCTGTGAACAGTTTCACAAGGACATGAGTGAGCAGTAGTCAGGGCCACAGGTCTATTTGGTGTACATGCTGAGCAGGAGTTGCCTTTGCACATCATTGACCCTGACAGTTGTGCACTGAGAAAGCCGTGATTGTGGCTGAGTTCTTGGGAGACCCAAGTTCTTTGATGGGATCAGTACATGATTCCCCGGGCACATCTGGGCACGTCTGGAAGCCCAGACTTGCCCTTCTCAGGGACCTCTGCAGAAGCCTTGCAGTGTCTTCTTTACAGAGAGTGCTCTTGCTAGGAGAGAGCTCTTAGGACATGGAGGAGCATTAACCATCGTCCCTTTGGAGGACTGGAGAATAGGTCACCTGAGTTAGACAAAAGAGAATGGGCACCCTAGGCAGGGGAAAGACACAGGTACATGAATGAAGCATGAATAAACACTGACCATCAGGATGTCAGGGTGCAGGAGGGGCCAGGAGGCTCACTGGGTGGGGAGGGTCAGTTCATGGAGGACCTTGCGTGCCAGGCTGTGGAGCTTAGGCCTTATCATAAGGCCATTGGAGAGCCAAAATTATAAAAAATAAAACAACAACAAAAAAGGTTTCTCTCTTCCAAAAGAACCCTATTGAAGGGAGCATAAATAGGTGGGAACCATTTGATAGAATTTCTATTGGCTCAGTAATTTTGGGGGTCAGGCTTCATCAGAGTATGAAGTCCTAAATTCTAGACAGAAGAGTGCAGTAGGAGACATTGAGAGAATGTGGGTGGCTTTTCTCTTCTTAGTGTTGGGCTCAAATCAGGGTCACATGTGTTGAGAAGATTCATTTATTAATAGAAAAAGTCAAAGTCCTTTTAAAGAGATATACTGAAATATTTCAGATTAAGCTTTGTCTTTCTGTGTTTAATTTCAGAATAAAGCTATGGCAGAGAGTAGGGTACAGGTGACATAGGATGGGCCAAGACTATTATAACTGGGTGATGGGCACATTGTACAAGTCTCTCTTGTGTGCATGTGGACTATTCTATAATATTTTTTTTAAAAGAAAGGGAAAAAATGACACTACCAGTCTAATTAAAAACCTATGCCCTAAGTTCTTTATTTTTCATGAGATTACATGCATCATTTATTACAGAAATTAATGTTCCTTTCAGTACTAGTCTCAGTATAAATAAGTTTATTTTGCTCAGAAGTTAAAGATTAGTCCTGCTTAATTTATGACTCTTTGTTTACAGGATCTGAAAAAGCCTTTTGATAAAGCTTGGAAGGACTATGAAACAAAAATGTGAGTGTTTTCATTTTAAAAATATGTGTAGGTAATTTGAGATTTCAATTTTAAATCAAGTTTTTATTGCTTAAAGGGATCGTCTGAGTAAACCTTAATCCAGAAAAGAATTTACCTAAAACCATATTGCAGTGGTTTGTTGTGATGACAGATGCTTCCATACTTGGAAGTCTGCATTTGGTGATGTTAGCTTCTTTTAATAAGTTTTCCCTTGTCCCTGTTTTTAATAATGTCGTAATGGTTATAGAGTGTTATTTTCAGGAAAGATCATGGAAGGAAATTAAGGCCAGTTTTTCTCAGAGGTATTTATTTACTTTTTCTGTTTTGTTTTTTAGAATGCTTTCTCATTTTATTACTGTTTATGACAGCAGTGTAATTTTCAGACTTCATCTTCCTGGTGATTTGTGAAAACCATCTGTTTTTGGCTTTGTGTCTATGTTTTTCTGAAATAGCAGTCCCCTTGGTTTTAGAAAGAAAGATTGTTTAACATCCATCTCCTTCAGCTTTATTTGATTGCTTCTTCTGCCAGAAAAGAACATTAAGAATGGGTTGGTTGATTCTTAGATATGTAAAACAATTTCTACAAAAGACAAGACTGTTCTACTCGTTGACTTCAGGCAGCTGTTGTGACATTTCTGATCACAGTTTCTCATTCCTAGAGTGGAGAGAGTCTAGCGAGCTAACTGAGCTAGCAATTATAGGGAATAATGGTTTCGTTATTTTAAATACTGGAGAAATAGAAAATATTTTTAAGTGCCTCATGTTTACTTAATAATCGCTGTGCCTTGGGTTATGTAGAGTTTTCTGAGTGGAAATAGAAACTTTCATATGAAGCCATCTGGTAAAGTGAGAGCTGTTAGAAGAAATCACTTCAGATGTAACTGCAGGTATTTAATTTAACCAGCCTTGGTTATCTTTTCAGGGTGGAGGATCACAAAGCTCAGACCAGTGAATACTAAACCTTTAATACTCATGCTGTCCATGGAAATCTTAAATTTCCGTACATGAAGTTGCTTGGATCCCAGGCTCTGGACTTTGATTAATGGTATACATTCATATGAAAGCACAGGCGGAGTGCCAGACTAGAATACCTTGAAGGTCTTTGCAACCCAGAGAGGCTCCAGCCTGTTATCCCTGGCTCTTTAGCATCCTAATCTGTATGCCAATTCAGTGGCCTAAATAGCAAGGGTTCAGCATTTCAACTTTATAGCTGAGAGACCAAGACTTGGTGGTTTGCTGCTGGCCAACCAGTCAGAGAGTAGTTGAGCCAGGGCCAGGAATGGGTTCCCAACTCCCATTCAGCTGCGCTCGCTGCCACCCTCAAGTGCCTGAGAGGTAATGCTTCTGTGTGTGACTGAACAAGGAGTTTCCGAAGAAGATTATTTGGGAGAGGCCTCTGGTTTGAAGGAGAGTTAACATCAAATTCTTTACGTTAAGACACAGGTAGGGCAGGAACAGAATTACTCACAAAATCCCAGAATTTGAGGAAGAGGGAGCAGCACCCTTTAAAATTTGAAGTAATTCTAAGATAAAGGAAGTAATTCTTTTATTAACACCTGAGACTCATTTATGCTAGGATACCTTGTGATATGTAATAACTAGTTTTAAACTGTCTTTAAAGTTCCTGGGCAATAGTTCCATACGTGATTATTAAGAGAAATGACCAATGTCTGAACTGTGTCTTGGTCCCTTCGAGGGGGTGTCATGGGAGCTTCGGAGCTGTATAATTCTAGTCCCAGGGACCTCAGTGGCCGTCCAGTCACACTCCCCCATAGATGCTTGAATTCATTGGACATCCCAACCAAATTGTCTTGTTTGTTTATACTCTTACTTACTTGCTCAGTCCTTCAAATTGTTGGGTACCTACTGTGTGCCCAGCACTGTGGTCCAAACCGAAGAAAGAAATTACACTTCTTGCCTCTTTTTAAATACTCCAGCCTCCCCCTGACTCCCAATGATAGGGAACTCCCTGGAACTCGCAAAGAAGCCCATTCAGCCCATTTCATCATTAAACAACTTTTAAACAAAATGCTCCCTTGTGTCTTCTAGTGTCTGCCTTGAGACTACAGAAAGTGCCTGGTCCCTTGTCCTCACGGCAGCCCTTTCTGTTTTTTAATTGCCTTTTGTTGGTTTTGTTTAGTCTCCTTTTCTCCAGATTAAAATTCACAGTTATTTCAGGCCCATCTTAGCTGATTTGATTTTGTGGTTCTTTTTACCCTGGCTGCTCTTCTTTGGATGTATCTCAGTTGGTCAGTTTATACCCTGAACTGCACACTTGACATTGAGCTAATATAGTTCAGGCAGGAGATAAATGTGGGAAGAGGAAGAAGCTGAAAAAATGGAAAGGGGGTTTGTTTTCTTCTCCTACAGTGAAGAGCACTGGTATAGGTCAAGCAGGAGGACTGGCGTGACTTCACTAGTGAGGGGAGGCGGGAGGTGGAGAAAGAGACTAGAAAGAAAGTCTGGGAAGAGGGATGTAGGGTGGGAAGAGTCACTGGTTCCCTTTGGACCAAGAGGGCAGCAGACTCCAACAGCTATTGTTGAAGGAAACCTCCAAGGCACGTGCAGACTTCCCACCTCCTCTGACCCAGATCTGACTCAAAGTATTTGCTTAGGAAGTGTTGGTTGAGTAAGCAGTGAGAGGACTAAGTTGGACATTTTTATGACAACTGCACTTTCCTTTCAAGTGAGTTAAAAGGCTGTCCTGTTCTAAAGTGTGTGGTGAGCCTTTGTCTCAGCAGGCTCGGAGATGGGATGGCTTTGAGGCTGTCTGGCTTGGAGGACGGTGCCAAGAGGCATCTTGATTTATCCTTGCTTTTTTTACTCACTTTCCTTTCAAGTGAGTTAAAAGGCTGTCCTGTTCTAAAGTGTGTGGTGAGCCTTTGTCTCAGCAGGCTCGGAGATGGGATGGCTTCGAGGCTGTCTGGCTTGGAGGACGGTGCCAAGAGGCATCTTGATTTATCCTTGCTTTTTTTACTTGAAGAACCAAAATAGAAAAGGAGAAAAAGGAACATGCCAAGCTCCATGGGATGATTCGTACTGAAATAAGCGGGGCTGAAATTGCTGAGGAGATGGAAAAGGAGAGGCGGTTCTTCCAGCTACAGATGTGTGAGGTAAGACATGGAGGAAAGGCGGGTCCCATGAGCCAGGCTGCAAGGCGGTCTGCCCCCACCTCTGTGGGACCTCACATGGGGACAGGGAGCAGAGAATGTGCTGTTTCTCAGCAGGAGTCCTGCTTCTGACTTACACTAGTGGCGTCAAAGAAAACATCGAATTGGACTCCATTTGTCCTCTGTGTTAACAGTTTCTTTTATTAGGGGAGTCTTTCTTAGTCTCCTGGAGGGTAGAATTAGGTTAACAACACCAGCCTTTTATTACCAATGGAGTCAATGATCTGGGCAGAGGGCCTGAGAAGTCAGCTAGAAAAAAGTCCAGCTGAGGGATGACAGCCCATGTTGTCCTCTGTGTCAGGGGTGTGAGCATGGTGTGGGAAGCCATGCCACCTGTCTCTGGAAGTGGCTCCTCCCAGACTTCACCTGATCAGCATGGAGATGCTCATCCAGGCAGGAGGCCCAGGTTCCCTGGGGAGCTCTTCTCTGCTCCACCCCATCTTCACCCTCATCCCTTGCCTTGGGAAGGGGAAAACACCAGGAAACACAGTCTCGGAGCATTTCTCTGAGATCAGAGACCATCCATCATGAAGGCCTTTGCTCACAACCTTTTTATTCTTACACCTTGCTTGTGGGTGCATGTGTACAAACAGTGTGTGGAAACCCTCCATCTCTGCCTGAGAGTTTGCTCTTCCTGGTAGTGCCAGCAAAGCCACTTGTGCTGGATGGCGTTTATTTCTCACAGCATTGCAAGCTTAAGTTTTAAATGTACACAATGCATGAGTGATTTCTGTGACAGCTATCGAAACAGAATTCAGCCAGCTCTTGATTCCCGGTAAGCAGTCAACAGCAAAGCTAATCCAAAAGGCACTTTTTGATTTTGGAATGTTTGTTAATAGCCTTTATAAACATATATCTTAGAAATATATTTAAATGAGTTTTTATTCCCAGAGCAAAACTCTTAAGTGGTCAGGAGAGGAGAATCAGTCCCAGGAATCAGGGTGGCAAGTGAAAGTTTTAATGTCAATTTTGTCTGATGCTAGTATAGCCACTCCAGCTCTCCTTCGGTTACTGTTTGCATGGAATATCATTTTCCATCCTTTTACTTTCAACCTCTGTGTATCTTTCAATCTAAAGTGTGTCTCTTGTAAACAGTATCTGTAGCTGGATTATGTTTTTTTTAATCCAGCCTGACAGTCTCTGCCTTTGATTGGATTGTTTAATTCATTCACATTTAATGTTACTGTTGATGTAGTTGGATTTCCTTTCACTGTTTTACTTTTTGATTTTTATGTATCACATCTTTTTTGTTCCCCTAGTCCTCCTTTACTGCTTTGTTATTCTGGGTTTTTTTTGCGGGGCGGGGGTGGGGCACAGCTGGCGGGGACCTGTACTGATGGGGATTGAACCCTGGACCTTGGTGTTATCAACACCATACTCTAACCAACTGAGCTAACCAGCCAGCCCTTTTTGTTTTTCATTAAGCAAATATTTAGAAAAATAACTAAACTCAAGGAGTTATCGTAGGTAGGAGAGTGTATGTTTTTATACATAAGTTGTTTTATAAACAGACATCATATATAATACTACCTGCCTGGCCTACGTCACATAGTGTTGGAAAAATCAGTGAAACAGTATAACATAAGACAGGGACTAGGAAACTGCTGTGTATTATGCAAACACGAGGTATTGTTTCTATTAACTAGTAGTGTTTTACAAAGGATGAATTTGGAAAGGGTGTGCGTGTGTGTGTGTGTGTGTGTGTGTGTGTGTGTTCAGGTCATGCTCTTTTTGACTAGTAAGGTTAAAATCTATTTACCTGAATTCTACAAGACTGTTTTAAATGTTTACTGAATTTTGAAATTCAGTTGGCACAGCTTTGACATGAAGAGTACCCAGGTCGCCACTTGGCTCTGTCATTGCTTTCTGTGACGTGCACCTTGCACTGGTTATTTCTCTTTTTCTGGGTCTAAGTGAGTGGATTGTGTGGGTTGGTTAAATCATTTATTTTCCTGGAAATACACCATGTAAACAATGCCTATAGGTTATATATTTGAGCCACCTGTTGAGCCAGACCTCAGGTGGTGGTGGGCCCCAGTCCATGCTAAGCATATGAGGTCCCTGACTCTACAAAGCTGGCACTTGGTGAGGTCAGACACTAATGTTTTGCAGTCCAGTGATAGAAGTGCTGTCTATATGTACAAAAGCACAGGTAGGCTTGCCTAACAATGAACTTGGAGTTCACAGAGAAGACATCTGATGAAGAGTGTAGAGAAGTTGACCAAATATAGCTGGAAAGGGCTTTCCATGAGCCAGGAAGAGCATTTGAAAAGCAGTTACCTGAGAATCCAACATCTAAAATGAATTAAATCGCCTCTGTTAAAATCATTTTTAAATTGTGCAACCAGGGCCGGCCTGTGGCTCACTCGGTAGAGTGCGGTGCTGATAACACCAAGGCCACGGGTTCGGATCCCATATAGGGATGGCCGGTTTGCTCACTGGCTGAGCGTGGTGCTGACAGCACCAAGCCAAGGGCTGAGATCCCCTTACCGGTCATCTTTAAAAAAAAAAAAAAAAAAATTGTGCAACCATTTCCTCAGACTGAAGTTCTCAAGTTTTAAATGGTTGATGTTGCTTAGTTGTTTAAATTTTAGTTGCCCAGGATTTAATCTAGAAGAGTGGCTTTCAGACTTTTAAAGCTGAAACGTTTTTTCAGAAAATCAGCCAATTTAAAAAAAAAAAAAAAAAAAATATATATATATATATATATATATATGAAATTAAAAATCACCCCAATTTTGCTTACCAAAAGATAACCACTTTGACATTTAGGTAAGCACCTTCTATATATATCCCGATGTGTACATTCATAAAAATAATTTGTGTAAATAGGATCATTCTCTATTGATGCTTTGTAACCTGATTATTTTCACTTGCTAATATGTCATGGATATCTTTCCATGTCAGAAATTCTTGGCTTTATTGACTCACTGGCTACAGTGTTTTTGGTATGGATGCACCATACTTTAACTTCCCATTCATTGCATTTGGGCTTTTGCCATTTTTCACTTTTACAAACAAGGCCACAGTGAATCTTCTTTTGTATTCATGTTTGTAAACTTTAATGATTATCTTCTCATAATATGTTCCTGTAAGTAGGATTTTAGGTCAGAGGGTAGACACATTTTAAATTTTGATACGTTGCCAAACATCTTATTTAAATAACAGTGAATTAACATCAAGAAGGAAGAGAGAGAATAGGACATGTAGGCAGTTGTTATAGGCAAAAGGAATTTCTGTGGCTTACAGTATCAGAGCAGTTTCCATCTCCTTACTGGAATGCATGACAGAACTGGGAAGGGGCTTGCAGGCGTGTGCGTGCATGTACCCCTCCATCACAACGGCTAGCCTGTGTTGCTCAGCATGATGGGTCAGCAGTTTTTTCAGGGGGCATTACGTCTCAGAGATGAGATGTTCTTAGGTTTCTTTACACCATATCCTGACAGTGGAGGGGAGAGGGAATTTATGGAGTCCCTGTTCTATAAACCCTTAAGAAAGAACAAATGTATTTCCTGATGTTGGTTTTGTAGATCTCTGGGTCTTCCTGATGACTTAGTGGTCGGTATTGAATTCTCCAAGTTAAAAATGGCTTTAATTTATTTTTATTTAAAATTTGGTTTTTGTAACAATCACATTTTTCTAAGTGTAAGGAAAGTGTCTTGGGGCTAGAGAACAATATGACAAGGACCTCAGCTATAGAATTTTAGCAGTTAGTGTTCTGGACAGTGACCTACCTAAAGAGAGGGACCTGGGACAGAAAAAATGTGGACAAGATGATTCAAGATGGTTAGAAATCTCATTCCTTCTAACTATCCTCATTCTTTCATGCAACTAGGGAAAAAATTTCTCCTAGCAGGTTAAGATAGAAGATCTTATGACTAGGAGTTCTTGGCACTTAGACACTTACTTGACTGTCAGATAATTCATACAGCACCAAACTAAAAGAAACATTTGGCTATGGCATTGAGAAGACATTAAGTGTCTACCATGAGCTCTACCAATTGTAAAAGATGTCAGAGAAGTAGAAGAGATAATCTCAGTCCTCAGAAACTCCTATTAAGCTCATACTCTGCTTATTTCTATGACATTTCCTTTTTTGTTTCTTAACAGTATCTGCTGAAGGTCAATGAAATCAAGATTAAAAAGGGAGTGGATTTACTTCAAAATCTGATCAAATATTTTCATGCCCAATGCAAGTAAGTTTTTCTTTGTTATGATGTTATTTTAGATGTCTCTTCATGTATGGCAACTTCTGGTAGATCTGTAGTATCGTACTGATGAAAATAAACACTCATTTAAAATCTACAATAAAAGGAATGAAGTTCTAATGTGTGCCCCAACATGGATGAACCTTGAAAACATTAGGTGACGGAAGCCAGACACAAGAGGCCACGTGCTCTATGATTCCGTTTATTTGAAAGGTCAGGAATAGGCAACTCCATAGAGACAGAAAGCACATCAGTGGTTTCCATGGCTTGGAGGAAGGAGGAAATGGGGAATGACTGCTGATTGGTATGGGTTTCTTTTTGGAGTAATGAAAATGTTACGGGATTAGATAATGCTGATTATTGCACAACTTTGTGAGTGTATTAAAAACCACTGAATTATACCCTTTATGGTTTTAGAATTACATTTCAATTAAAAACACAAATATACAATATAAAAATCTACAATAATTATCAAATATATTTATTTTTGCTCTTTTTTGTAAGAGGCAAACTAGTGTGACTGAACACATGATTCTCAGATGTTTTTTATTTGTTAAAACAGAAATGAGATGATGTTAATGAACTGTATTAAATTAAGAAACTTCTTTCATATATTTCATATTATCCTATGAAGCCATAACCGTGATGAGCAAAGGTGGGTGTAAGTAGAAGAGAAAGAGAAACTTCCATCTTCAAGGAAAGCCTCAAGTACTTAACTCTGCCATAGACAGCAGCCCTTCACACGCTGGCCCTCATCTGTTATCGTACTTCTGCCCCCTGACCCCCAGTCACTGATATAAACAGGCCCTTGGCTCATTCACTCACTCATCCAACAAGCTTTTATTGAACATGTGCTATGTGTCAGGCTCTGTAGTAGGTGCTGGAGATAAAGTGATATATGATACAGGTATAGTTCCTGCACCAAGAATCAAGTAGGGGAGTTGCGCTTAAGAATTGGACTTTTACAAAAGTGTTCTAAAGTATAGGAATCTAAGAAAGAATATAATAGAGGGACCTAATTTAGATAAAGACTTAGGGTAGGGTGTTTTTGTTTTCTATTTTATTCCCTTTTATGTTCTCCAACAGCCAGAACACAGTGCCTAGCACATAGTAGGTACTTAGATATTTCTTGAATTAGCTACAGGCCTCTTTGAGGACTCGTGTATTCAGAGATTTAAAGGATGAGTAGGATAAGCAGTGGGGGAAGATCATTCCAGGCAGAGTCATGGTCTCAAGGCAGGAAAAAGTGAGGGTGACATAAGCTTAGTGAGTGAAGGGCGAAGAGTAGTGAGAAATGACACTGGATAGAAGAGCCTTAGAGAAGTAGATGTGGAAGCCCTTAGATGTCTTGATAAAGGTTTTAGATTTTGTCCTAGATGTGTCTTGGACCTCTCCAACAGTTTCAAGCAGAGGATTCATTTGCATGGAGCTCCTACCGTGTGCCAGGCACCATTCAAGGTTCTGGTGATCCAGTAAGGAGGAAAACAAAGTTCTTACCCTCATGGACCTTAGGTTCTGATGGGGACAAGTAGGAAACACATGAGCAAATACATAATTGAGTTTATGAAAAGGCAAAACAGTGTGGTGAGAGAGGGAGTGCTGTTGATTGGAAACAACTTCTGGAAAGCTTCTGTGTTGTGACACGGTTGCTCTGCGTGTTGTGGAGAAGGAACCAATCAGACGAGTGGATACAGGTGATCACTTAGGTCCGTGGTTCTATCCCAGTGCAGTCCAGAGATGTCGATGGCCTGGCTAGACTGTTGGAAGTTGATTGGAAACAACTTCTGGAAAGCTTCTGTGTTGTGACACGGTTGCTCTGCGTGTTGTGGAGAAGGAACCAATCAGACGAGTGGATACAGGTGGTCACTTAGGTCCGTGGTTCTATCCCAGTGCAGTCCAGAGATGTCGATGGCCTGGCTAGACTGGTGATGTTGGGAGTGGAAGGTGACAGTGGGACGAATTTGAGAAGTTTATTGGAGGTCAAATTGCCACACCTGTCTACTTACTTTTCCCACAGTCTGTGCCCTACATTGATATACCTTTGTATACGTTGTTCCTTTTTCTAGAATGTCATTCTGTTTCCTCTGTGCCTTCCCCCAACTTCTGTGCTTCCCTAGGACCTAACCGATGTATAATTTTTACTTTTAAGTGTTTCTTGTCTTCCCCTGGTGGAATTACGTCTCTTCCTTCTGCTAACACAACACCGTCTGCATGTCTCCGCGATGGAATCTTCCCCACTGTGGCTCTGTCTCCCACTGAACTACATTCTCTTAAGGAAGGAGCCGTCTCATTTATTCATTTTCTCCATCCAGTACATGGCACATTTACCTGGTGCATATCTGCAGCAGTGGATTACACCTTTGAATTGAACTGAGCTCTGCTTTGGAATTCTTAATACAGCTTTGATGACATTGCATTTCTAAAGCAGTTGAGGTCAAACAACGAAGGAGCCTGTGCTGAGTGGTTCATCCTGTGTTAAGAGAGAGCTCCGCACTTGGAAAAACAGTCTCAGAGGGCAGAAAGACCTCAAGTTTGCAGAATTTTCAAGACGAATTTTTTTACAGACTCAAAAAATGTAACTTTGTAATTAGCATGAAAATTACTCCTTCAGTTCTTATCCTTGTAACCTTATGTGAAACAATTTAGGAAGAAGTGGGTTGCTTCCTTGCTGATATTTTATTTTTAAGAAGCTATTCTGGGATTTCCTTTTTTTTTTTTTTTTTTCTTCTTTATTTTGCCCAAACTGATCAGTTGGGTAGCAACAGCCCACTCGTGGAAAAGTGAACTAGCTCGCCTTTTATGGTCATGAGCTCAGTAACCTTTTAAAATATGAATCTTCCATTACTTCCTTTTTGGATGACTGTGGGTGGGTGGGCGTACACCGTATGCTCTTCAAATCAGTCCAGCAGCCTTGACTTTTAAATTCATATTTTGTGGGATAAAACGTGGAGCCTGAGTGACTCGGCTGTTGGACGGAAGGAGTTTGTAGCAATGTGTGTGTTTCCACATATGGGAGTTTCTCATGTTCCCTCTTCAAACATTCCCACTGTCCACTTCTTACCGCCAGAAGCACAGCTTTGCCAGGTAGGTGCTGTGCCTGGGTGAGCAGAGGGTTCCTGCCCCACCAGCACCTCATCTCCACACTGCTGTTCTTGGCATGAGTGAAGAGGCCATGTGCATGAACTAGATTCTAGGAGCCATGCTGGGTGTTGACACTTAGAGCTGCTTAGGTATGCAGTATTTGCTTTTTACTCATTTTTTCTTTTCACTTTAAGTGTTCTTGAAGAATACTTCGTGTTCTTTGTCTTTTATTTCATTTAAGGAAGGGATTTGCATCTCTACCTCATTCCAATAATCTAAAAATTTGTCTCATTAGTCTTTGCTGCTGAAGATTGAGGATCCTATTCTCTAGTAGAATCTAGAAATAGGGCAATCTTTAAAACAATAACAATAAAACAAATAAAGATGGCCATGTTCTAAAAGGTGGTAATGAGTGTTGAATTGACTTGTTCTTTGAGCAAATGCCTGCTGAGAGCCACTGTGACCAGCTGTTACTTGATGAACTTGGGGTGCAGAGTTGATGAGACTCAGTTCCTGGAGCCCCGGACAAGCTTGCTCTTCTGAGAGGGAGGGGCAGGTGCTGCAGGCAGACCCCACCGGATGTGATATTAGCATGTGATAGCATGAAGGCCGTAGGAGAGGACCCAACACGGGGCCTTGGGATCCAGAGGAAGGCAAGGACACCCTGCTTGGTGGGAGCTTGAAGATTGCATCTAAGTGGGTATATTTTAAAGCCTTGAGAATCTGGTCAGGTAGGCTAGAACGTGTTTAATAGATAACAAAATTTGTTTGGAAGTGTTGATGGTAAAAGTTCTTTGAAACTTGGAAAAGTGTTAATGGGCTCAATTTGAGAAAAATTTGTTGGGGACTTGTACATAGGAAAGTCATGATGACTACACTCAGTGAAGCAGTGACAGTGCTCCTTTTCTCCGAAGTTCTCTCTCATGCCAGGACAATTGCATATTGAAGGTATACTTGGGTGCAAAAATGTGCCTCAATAAAGAGGGTACAGAAAGATGGGGGATTTAAAAATCGGAGGAGATTTTCCAGGTAGATGGGTGGTTAAGATTGGCTAGGTGATTACAAAGATCAAATCCCAATTTTAAATACAAATTTATATTTTTATTCTAAGTGCACTGTGCAGTGTCATGTTGGAAATGATGTCTGTGACAAGAAACGTGTCTGGGTGCCTTGACTCCACTACAGGGCACTCTCTCTCCCTAGGGACAGCGGCCAGGTTGCAGAGGTTCTTCGAGCAGTGCACCTGTTCCCTCTCCCCAGGGACATTTCTGCATTTATCTCCAGTAATATTTTTCCTGCTCCCTATTCTAGTATTGTCTCTCTCATGTTCTCTCTTTCTCTTTCTTCCTACCTATTTCACAAGAATTTGAAGTCTTGAAAGAAATCATTATATAAAGAAAAAATGTAAATAAAATATAAGAACCAGATAAGTTCATGACAAATGGAAGAAGCTCAGTTTCTCATTCCTGCAGCTCTGCAATTGTTCTAATTTCTTTTTCAGCTCAGAAGGAACATCTGCTACGTGCCGTCCACTGTGCTGAGAGTGGAAGGTGCAGAGATCTCTAAGACCCAGCATTTCTGCCCTAACCATGGCAGGAGACATGTGGATAGATCAGTATAACAGTCTGCCATAATTGCTATGCTACGGCATATTCTGTGTTCAGAAAGAAAATCAGATAAAATATAAGAACAAGAATGTAAAATAAAGAATTATGTGTGTATCTAAAGCTTAAGGTGAGAACATTCTAATAGCCCAGCCTCTGTGGCTCCTAATAGCCAGCTAGTAAAGGTCCTATCCCACATCCTGTGTGTGTGTGCTTTCCCTGTCTTTCCACCTTGAAATTACTGAACTAAGTGCCACTCTGCACTGTTCTCACAGCCCTTTTGTCTATGACATACTTGGTATGGGAAAGTCCCACAGGGCCATTGCTGAATTTAAAAGCAATGAACATTACCTCACATGAACACATGTGAAACTCAGATTGCTTTTTGAGGATAGTTTCCTTGGTATCCAAAAAAACTGGCAGAAGCTGGCGACTCTCCTTCCTTCCTTCGTTAATTAATTTCTTCATTCAACAAATATCGTATACTCGAAATATGCCAGGCTTTGTGGATACTGTGGATACTTCCTCCTAGAAAGTCAGATCTCTGAGAGAATTCTATGTTAAATAATCACACTAATGAATACATAACTGCTGTTGTGATAAGTGTTTGGAAGCAAAATACAAAATGCTCTGAGAGAATATAACAAGGAGACCTTTTTTAAAGTAGGAGATTGTGGAAGTCCTCACTAATGAGGTGATATTTAGCTTAAAACTTGAAGAATGCATGGGAATCAGCCAGGTGAAGCAGATATACTGCAGGGAGAAGCCTTTAGAAAGAACAGCATATACAAAGGGCCTGGGGCAGGGATAATTTGGTGGCCATGGAGGAATAGAGGAGGCCAGTGTGTCTGGAACCAAGTGAATGATGTGGATTGAGGCGACAGACACAGGCAGCTGCCAAATCATGTAGGCATTGTAGGCCTTGTTACAGGTTTTGAACTTTATCCTCAGCCCACTGGGAAGCCTTTTCTTCATTCCTCTCAAAAGAGTCATACACAGCACACTTAAGAGGCAGTGCTAAACACCAGCCTACTGTTGCTGCGGAAAAACTCGTCTAGCTTCTCTTGTATTTCCTGAATCACTTATAAATGACCTCACAGCATCGAGTTCTGAGCTTTAAAAAAGAAAAAAATTCCTTTTGATGTTTGATCTCAAGTTCTCCATCCATGGTTTCCTGCTCTGCAGATGGAGCATGGCCATTCATGCGCATCAAAGTCTCTCAGGTTTTTCCTGCATTCTTTCCCTTTTCCACTTACCTATTGCCTGTTGAGGAAAATTCCTTAGTCTCTCGCTCCTATTTGCACCCCATGGTTTTTCTGGCCTCAGATTCCATTTGGGTACTTGGAAGACTCCTTAATCAAAGCCCGTGCTGCCATTTGTCAGTAGAATCCTGTTTCTTGTTATAAACTGAAAATTTAGGTCTCATTTTATATAGGTCAAGAAAAATCACAAATACTTAGGCTTATTGAAATTCCATTTCTATTCACTTCTAATTTTGAGTGTCATTTTATTCTTGGTTTACCTGATATTTTAAGGTTCTGTTCTATAGTCTTTTCCCCAAGGAATTATATAATTGCTCCAGTCACTTTCCTTTAAAGAAGTTTTTACTCCGTCTGACAAAATTTTCTTCTTTATAAAGCACAATCTCTGTTTCTTCTCCCCCCACCCCCCCAGTTTTTTCCAGGACGGACTGAAAGCAGTGGAAAGCCTCAAACCTTCCATTGAAACACTTTCAACAGACCTTCACACTGTGAGTAGCTTCCCTCCCCCAGTGGCATTGAAACCCTTTTTATGCAACAAACATTTTCATTTAAATGTTGCTTCTATATTTTCTTGTGTTTGCATGCCGTGCTACCCACAAACAAAGCAAATAGTCCCATTGTGCCACAAGGGCCAGTGGAATGTGGCTTCCTGCTCCGTCTTCTGTCTTGTTTAGAAGGAGGGTATCCCCAGAGAGGGAGGCAGGAGTTGCACTTGGTATGGAAATGCCCTGTGAGCTGTAAGATTTCCTTTTACATCAGTCTCACTTAGCTCTGTTTCATTTTGTTTTATTTTTAAAAGATCAAACAGGCCCAGGATGAAGAAAGAAGGCAATTGATACAGCTTCGAGATATTTTAAAGTCCGCACTGCAGGTTGAACAAAAGGAGGTGAGGGGATTTAACTTTGAAAAATCACTACCTTATCCCTATGTCTTGGAGGCTTTGGGACTGAGGAATGTCAAGTCCATGTCTTCTAGGTGCTCACAGTTCACTCTGGGGCTATGTCAAGCAGCACTAAAATATTGAGTTCATTCTTTAAATTTCCTTCTATAAAACCATCTTTTTAAAAATGCTTATTTCAGGGGGAAGCAGTCACTACAGGCATGGCCTCAGTGGCTGTGCACATACATTTGTTGCCTGGTGAGTTGCTAGATGAGCAGCTCTTAGTGGCTCTATTACATGGGCCACTTGTCATTTGTGCCATTTATTTCGTACCTGGACTTCTGCAGTTTCCCCTGTCCTGACATACGCAGACTCTGCCCCTTTGGACATAGGCACGTAACAGGTGACCAGCCAGGGCTCTTGCAACCCTGCAGTTGTGTTCTGTAACATGTGAAGAGTTAACTTTTCCTACAGCTTCATCCTAATGTGCACAAATCCTAGTTTCTCTTGCATCAGCTCTTTCATATAATGACTTCTCTGTGTGCTAACACATCAGCAGTGATAATTTGTGTTTTGGGGGGGCTCATTAAAAAAATACATTAAAAGTAAAAGTTAAAGGTAATTTTATGATATGCTTACTACAGTGTGGGTATTATAATGTGAATTTAACATAAATCTACTTTCTTGTCAATAAAGCAATGTGTCTAAACATATGTCTGGTAGGTTTTAGATAAATAGCTCTATTAAACTGCTTAGTAGAGAATTAAAGTTAACTTGGCAGTTTGATATGTTCTGTTTTGTTGTAAGTTCTTGTACTATAACTGAATATTGTTTTTCTCCCAAATGCATTTACCTTTTGTGACCGAAGTCTAGGAGAGTAAGTACTTCAGTATTTTAATAAATTGGAGAATTTTGCATGCTTTTTTCATGAACTTCAAAAATATATGTATTTCTTCTTCTTAGTTTTAATGGCTGGTAACGTTTTAAATTTTAACCCTTCCTCTTTCATTGTAGTATATTTTATTAAAGGCCAAAGAGTTTGAATGCACAAATGTTAGTGAAATGGAAATTTTCTAAGTTACAGCTCCCTCCCCGTCCTCTGCATGGCTGAATTCTGCCCGTCCTTCTAGTCCATCTGTAGCCTGCCTCTGGGGAGCTGCCTCTGATCACCTCAGCCCACAGTGATCTGAGTTCACAGAGCGTGTTCTGTTTGGAAGACTTGTTTCCGTCAGAATGTATTCCTTTCTAGATTATTGTTGGCTGCGTCTTAGTGCACAGATGCCTTTCCTCCAGCTGAACAATGAGCAGCTTGAGGATACCTTCTTGCCTCTGTGCCTTTCCTCCATTTCATACTAGTGCCATAGTGCTTGTCGAATAGGCTCCTGGTAAGCTAAGTGAGAGACTGGCATAGTAAAGTTATATGTAGGGCTAGGAGTGGTGACTTCCTCCCAGTCTAGAAAATATAGCTCCTGATGCTTTGATATTCCCAAACATGGATTATAAGCACAAAATGAGAAAAAGAGAAAAAATTTGCAGTAAAGAAAAAATAGTGGCCTGATTGTAATTAAAAGAGGTACTGCTAGGCTTGGGAGCCAGATTGCCCTCCAAGGTAGGTGCTCTCCAGTGTGCTGGGAGGACCCGGTTGAGAGCCACTTTTGTCTGAGAAAGAGGATCAAACCTGTGAAGCAAAGCTCAGGTTCAAGGGCCGGCTCGGTGGCGCATTGCTACAGTGCGCCGCTTGGGAGTGCGGTGGCGCTCCCGCCGGTTCAAAATAAGGAGCAGCAGCTGCTGAAGTAAGGTAGCCCTTTGGGCACAGTGCAAGGGCTGTGTTTGCATTGGCTGTGTGGAATTGGGATTGTAGGAAAACTAAGATTTAGCTGTTGTCAGAGAACTGGTTATTTGTAGCTTTGCATAAAAGTATAGCAAATTTCCCAGCACAGACCAGAAGTCTTTTATGGTTTGTTGCTTTTATGTTTTTGTTGACCAGCCCATCTACCCCACATTGCACACAGGGGTCAAATGAACCTTCTTTACCGTTCCTCTTTGGCTTTATGCCCAGGTGACTCCTTGTCAAGACTGAACTCACCAATCTCCTAGTTGTAGTGGTGTTGTGTTTTCTGTATATCACACACTCTCTGTTGCTTTTTGGTGATGGTATTCAGTAAATTGTACCGTCTGTGAACACAGTTGCAAGTAATAAGCAAGTGTGGTAACTTAAATTTTATGCATTTTAAGATGATTTTCATGATTGGGGTTCTGTCTTGTGTCCCTCTAATGTCGATGAGAATTAAACATTTGTGTGTTGTTCAGGCTCTCATTCCCTTCAGTTGGATTCTCGTCTTTGACTTAGAAAACTGAAGGTGTTAGATGATTTTTATTCAGTGTTATAAGAATTCTAACTCTGACTGTATAATTATAGTTTTTAAACATGCTCCAAGGAAACTGCCTTGATGGTTGGTAGGAACCACCGCTCCTTGTTTCCTTCCTGTAAATCTCAAACTTCAGTCATTGAAAGAAATGAAGAATGTAGCCAGTATGGTGTGGTGGCTTCAGGCAGCTTTTCTGTGTCACCCTGTGGCTACACTTTGGTATGGAGACTGGGCCACTATGATCCACTGTACCTCACACCTCCAAATCACCTGACTTTTATATTTTTCCCATGATATTTCCTGCTATCTGTGAAGAGTATACTACTGCTTGATTTTTTTTTGTTGTTATTCTATTATGAAAAATTTTCAGACTTATAAAAAAAACTTGGAAAATTGTACAGTGAACACCTGTATATGCACCATAGTGTTTGGTTTGGGGCAAGCTCTCTCACACAACGTAAAACCCTTCAGTGCTGCTGACTTTTGCTTGAGCTTTCTCCTTGTCAGTCTCACCTTCTCCTGCCTTCCCCCATCCCACCTACATTCATCTTGGGAGTTCTGCTGGGACAGCAGACCCCACTACAGTGCTGGCGGAGTCCCTGCCAAAGCCTGCTCATTGGTGTGCGGGCTCTTTGCTGTTGATGTTGAGAACCCAGACTTATGCTGCTGTGGGGAGGATCAGGCTCTGGGATATGTACTCAGTAGGTCTGAGTGCTGAAACCACAATGATTTTTCCACTTTACGCATCTCAAGCATGCTGTCCCTCTCTGTCAGCTTTGCTTCCCCCTTTCCAAGTGTCCCTGTCTAACAGGATGTCTTGAATGGTATGTGCTGTCCAGGTAGCAGAGGTCCTATTGGACCATAATTTCCAGCCATAATTCCCTTCTGACCCTGGCTTTCCTGTCTGGGTTTCGTACCTTATCTTGCTCAAACCTGGTCTTAATCAGATACCTCTGCCAGTGGCTATCTGCCTGCTTCTCCTGCCAAGCTCCTGGTTGCCTGGGCCTGGCCTTCATGTCTGCCTCAGTAGAAGACTTGTTCATGGGTTCACACATTCCAACCACCATTTTCTCAGTTACACTAAGGCAGGCACTACACAAAAACACACCAGAATAAGATAGATACAGTTCTCACCTCTTCAAGGGCTCATGATCTGGAGATTAGAACAGAGAAGTAACTGGTGGTGTAGTGTGATGAGAGCTCTAATGCAGGTCAGCTCCAAGAAGGGGTGTCTGCCCAGTGTTGGAGTGGGCAGGTGCCAGCAGGGATGACTTCCCAGAGGCTGTGATGCCTCTGCTAGGGCTTTGGAGGATAATTAGGAGTTAATAGAGTCCCAGCAGGTCGGGACAGGTGGGCCAGCTTCTGACTAGGAAAGAAAGTTTGTCTGGATAGCTGTCTTGCAGAGCAGAGGAGCATGGATCTTACCATTAGAAGCCTAGGTCTTCCGCTTCCTACCAGTGTGACATGGGCAAATTCCTAGACCTCTCCATGCCTTATGTATAAAACAGGAATAATATTACCTATCTCAAAGACTTATTACAAGATCTGAGAGATCATCTCTGTAAAGCACTTACCACATTACCTAAGTAAACAGGTACTAGCTTATTCATTCATTTAACAAATGTTGAGCTCCTAGATGCTGAAGATACAGTAGTGAACAAAAGAGACCAAATTCTCCCCATCACAGAGTTCACTGAGTGGTTGAACAGTAATGGATGCTTTTGTTTTTGTTACCTCTGATGTGTCCTTCTGCCCACTTAATCACCCCCTTGCTGGCTTGGCCTCTGACACCTTGTCTTCATGGCTGTAGCCCCACTCTGACTTAAGGTGCTGTCATACCAGCTCTAGGCTATTTCCCTTGCCCTGACCCAGGCCTTTCAGGCCTCTTCTCACTCCCACCCGCCTCCCCATTCCCACCTGCGTCCCACTTCACCACCCGCCCCCTCACTCTTTGGGGGCACCTGCTCCTCTCCATTGCCAGGGCATTTCCTGCTCACCTCTCTTTTCAGGTTTTTCCAGGCTCTTTGCAAGTGTGACCAATAATCCTTACAATCACCTGCAGGGTAGGTAGTATTAGTCCACATCTACAACTTGAATCTGAAAGAGAGAGTGTGGATAAATGCACTTGCTGGAGCTCATCAGTGGTGTTGGAGTCAGGATTTGGACCCTAGTCTATTCCGCCTCAAGCCTATTCTCTTTCAGCTATTTTATGTGACTTCAATATCTTTTTGAAAATTACCCAAAAATAATGGAGAATAGGTGTTGATGAGATTTGAAAACCTTGTTCTTCTACTGTGGCTCAGTGCTTGCTTAGCAAAGCCTGCAGCTCCCCATTGTGCCCACATGGTGGACACACCTGTCATATCTTTGTAAGATGGTGAATGAGTTGGACGTCACAGCCCTCTGTTGGTTGAGAAACTTTAATCCTCCAGAGATAACTACTCAACAATTCATTAGTCACAGAAATTGTCTGAACGTAGACTTTCTGAGAGGCAGACAAAGTGTAAAAGTTTTTCTGATATTTTAGAATCTTAGACAATTCCAGCAATACTTCTGATGTTAAGAGTAAACCTGTTTTGATATATATAATATAAGCAAAATCATCCTTTTCCCCCATTTCCGAAGGTTTCAGATATTAAAACTGCTGCTCGTCTAGGTAGATTTTTGTCTTGGCAGGACTCAGTGGCTCACTTCATGAGGCCACTTTAAAGTTAAGATCATGTTAATTCTGTTAATTAGACAACCAACAGAGCGGGAGAAAATATTTGCAAAATATACATCTGACAAAGGATTAATATCCAGAATATACAAGGAACTGAAACAACTTTACAAGAAAAAAAATAAGTAACCCAATTAAAAAATGGGCAAAAGAGCTAAATAGGCATTCTCAAAGGAAGATATACGAATGGCCAACAGACACATGAAAAAATGCTCAACATCACTC